AGAGCCGTACGACACGGGTCGGGACTAAAACCATGAGTACTGCCAGCGTACACGCTGGTGGTACTAATTACATAATGTGAATGATTGAATATAACAAACTGCAATGATATTTAGAAATGTATTTCTAGAAATGCTAAGACAGTGTTTAACGGCTTTTAAAGGTGCTCTTAAATTATTGAGATAATCTGGTAACATAAAGTGATCTTTGTCATTAAAAAAATTTGCAATAGTGTTGCAAATAACTTCCTTATTTTGCGATGTAGCAACAAAACTGATGTTGACAGTTGCGTGTAAGACTCAAGTGCAAGATATCAAACGGCCCCAGTGACTTCAAGTAGCCCTAGTGCAGGCTGGTGCAGATTTTCTCTAGTCAATAGAATCATAAAAAACCCTTTTTTTACACTACATATACCTGTATACCTGAGAAAGTGAGGATTCTTAGCATTAGTCCAGTAAACGAATGACATGGGTTGGAAAAAAATGTTAACAAAGGTGTTTCAACTGAATCCATTCCAGTTCTGGGCCAAATTAACCCAGATAATTCTTTACAGGAAACCACCCATGGCAAAGTGCCAAAATTCCAAAATGGCTGCCAATGCATAGGGGAGGGTGTTCATGTGGGCATATCACGGAAACTGTGTCACATAGAAACTTATGAGAGGTATCATTTCAATTGTTCAAAGGCATGACTATTCATTTGAAAAAAGTTTAAAAGTTTATACAGTGTAGTAAATTCTTCAGAAACAATAGCCCGACCACAGGGCAGGCACATCTAAGAAGTTACCCAGCTGGCAAATCATTGAAACAACGTTGAACCATAACATTGATAAGACGTTGGATAAACGTTGGATTGAAAAGTTGCATCAACGTCAGATAACAACGTTGTATCAATGTTAGACAACAACATTCCCAGCGGGCAAATTATGTTGTTTTAACATTAATTTTTATTATTGAAACAACGTTGAACCATAACGTTGATAATACGTTGGATTAACATTGGATTTGAAAGTTGACTCAATGTCAGATAACAACTTTGTTTCAACATTCTTGTTAGACAACATTCTTGCATGAAAAGACATTAAAATGACCTGAAATGTTTTTTGTTTTTGGTACAAAACACAGGTACACAATTATAACGTACACTGTAAAAAAATCCAAGTGCCTGCTTTGTCTGATTTTTTCAACGCATTTAGCTCCTAAGCATGTTTTGCACCTAAGCATGGTACACCTTTTTAGCCTGGATGTTTTAAGCAGAAGGACATTTTTGATGGCTAAATATATGTAGGGTTTATATGTATGGCCTTTAAGTTAAAATTTCCAAGGTTTCGATTAATATATATAGTTATTTTCTTATATATATAACAAAGTCACAGTCACCTCAACCTATCTATAACAGGGTACCGAGAACTGTCAACTTTATTAACTTCACTCTATCACATTTACAGCAACTTATTCATCCTAGTGTTAGCTGACCTTGCAAGGAAGTTTATTGGAATATATTTCTGAATAACAAGTTAAGAAAATTCGCAAGTTCACTAAAGACACAAAACAACTGTCCATTTTACTTTAAAACACCGTTTTTAATATTTTGATAAAGTAAGTTACAGTATTGATAAACAAAGTATCATGTTTTCAATAATTAATATTTTAAATTACGATCCATGTCTTGCATCACGACGACCAAACAACAACGTTGAGTCAATGACCAAAATACAATGTTGAGTCAACGTCACATTATGACGGCGTTTTGACGTGGCTGGATCAACATTGATTTGACATTGAATTCAGGTAGATCAACAGCGATTCAACATCTCAACCTGTTTTCAACGTTGATCCAATGTCACTATGTCTGCTGGGTACTAGCCCTCCCTGAAATCAGCCTGCCCTACTTTATTCTGCCTAATTTAATATATGAATCAAACATTAATTCTAATTTAAAATTATATTTAGAAGAATGTGTGAATACTATGAAGTTCCAAATAATTGTACCATCCAAATAATTGTACTGTGTGGAAAAATCTTAGGAAATTAGTAATTATACTACCCAAATAATTGTACTGTGTGGAAAATGTTTGAAAATTAATAATTGTTCCTTGCAGAATAATTGTACTGCATGGAAAAATGTTAGTAATTCCCATGTCTATTGTGAAAAAAGCCATTGCTTTGAAAAGAAATTTATTTTTCAAAAACTTTGCATTCAGTTTGAACCTGAAAATAATTGAGCAGTGATCTAAGCTGTGAGAAGCGCATCTTACATACATCTAATTAGCATAAGATTTAGCAATCAACTATGGTAATGTGCTAAACAGTTCGACTGGTGCAATCAATCCGACCAAAGAAATTATTTTTTAAAATTATATTTTCTGGGCTCAAACATTTAGACCAATCATCAAAATCATGCGGCAGAATTTTTTTTCTTGTTCCGACTGTTCAACCATATTGTTGGCAAGACTTGGTAAACTTTCAAACCAGTGAAATATTGTCAATTGTTGTGCTTTCAATAGCTCTCGACAATAAGGAAGAAACAATTAATTGAAAATCTTATCTGGAAGCGTGATGTGCCTGTCATTTCTTTTGTGCCGGATGACAATAATAATGCTTATAGACATAAAGTTTTTGCTAATTTAGCAGACTTGCCTCCGCTGACTGATTCGTCGGGCACGTAACTGGTGAGAAGGGGGGGCATTTTGAAGAATAAAAAAATTTGCTCAAGATTAAACCAAATATCGACAGTGGGTTAGATATGTCGTAGAACACCTTCACATAGACCGTATAGCGTTTGCTAGCAATAAAAAGTTGGAGAAGAATAAGTAATTTATTTTCAAGTTGGACTGAAATATATATGCAGATGGGGATACGTGCTTGAAGTCAAATACCGCAAGATCCTACATTTACTACAGTCAACCGAAAGATCAGCAGGATTGACCACCCAGACTTCTTGGTGCCAAATACCATGCACTGTCAAATTCTGACAAATACATGTGAGCTTTTCACCGACATGGAAAATAGATTTGTGAACAATAAAAATGACGTCTACCCCATCTACTTTTAAGAAAATACAGTTACTTATATGGCAGTAAAAGGGGCATTAAACGTTGATATTATTGAGAGTAATCCATGAAGAACACCATTCCTATGACCCCTCCACCACAAAAGAACAGTCTTCATTAACATGTGGTCTGCGCTAGATATGCTGGAGCAGACCAGATCAGACCAGTCTCTCATTTTTGCACTTGATTGATTTTAACTTTAAATTATAAATGCACCTGTTTTGTGAAAATTATGGCCAATAAATGATTATTTTATGTTCGGATTGTATCAGTGGGGTTTTGAATATGCACCGGGACTTATGCACAGCTAGTGTATAAAAATAAGAAAATCAGAAGTCCTACAACATATGTCTATCAGCACAGGTAGGCCCCCGTAGATTGCCTTTTCTCAATGTTTAATATGACATGATTTTTAAATCATGTAAATGGTTTGAATCCACTAAAGCTACTGGTTTCAAATATAAGAGAACGGGCATTGTTTACAACACCCGTCTCGGGGGAAAAAAAGAGTCCCTTTTGTGTAATGAATAGTGAAGAGTGTCATGAAATAAATAGATGGAAATTACAAACTTTTGTCTATTTTAATCTCACGTAATGTTAGCAAATATTGTACACAGCAAAAATGAGATTTAAATAGGAGGTTAAAATGTGCCTGAAACACATGATAAGCGAAAATTGCACTTTGGGTAAGATGGACGTTTTAACAGATGCCCCAAACAATCTGACATTTTCAAAGGTTTTTATTTTTATATTTTGATCAATTCGACCAAAATGACGTTTCTTTGAAATTTATTAATTAATCTTGGTCGAATTGTTTGGCATATTACTGTACATAACATTACTAAAATGAGTTGGCATATCTATTGATGAATTTATCCATTGATTATTTGAAATTAGTATACAGCTGCAGGACTCAACATTTATTTTAAATTTTTGGTCGGGCTTACTGCTACAAGTTTTATCTTTCCCCAGCTAATTTCCACTCCCCCCCTCCCCACATCTAACTATAAATTTCACAGAAATAAAATCACTTATCAAGCAATTTGGTAAAAAGGCTATCATTCCACTTTCATGAAATAAATGTTAAGAAAATAAGTGTTAATGTCAAATTGGCATCAGGGTCTTCAGGGTTTATTTGGTTATGGATGTGATTATGACCCCATTCCCATAGACATTTAGATCGATCTATCCCCCTGGGGAGTCACACTAGCTGTAAGGGGGTAATTAACTATGGTGCGCCCTCGGCTAATAGCAATTTAGTGTGAACCCCCAGGGAGTTAGGTTGATCCAGATGGATTGATCTAAATCTCTGGGCATGCAGTCTATGACATCATCAATGATGCAAATACCGTGGATGTATCTATTCTACTTATGGAGTTACAAGGTTAGAAATGTCAAAGAAAACTCAAATTTTTGTCACACATTGTACCATCATTTGTGAAAGAGGTAGCAATAATTGTATTCTATAATCAAACTCATTCACAATCACAATATCTTTAATAATAGAAAACCACCTTTGAATTACCTAGGTTTCATGTTAGAGAAGAAGGTATGCACCATCCTACTTTGGACAGCCTCATCCCCCTCGCCTTCTGGCATTCTGCCATTGGTCTCCTCTTTAGCCTGCTTGTAGAGTGGATTCCATTCATGTGTTTTGATGGCAGAGGTATTTGGATGGTCTGTGGGAGAGTTTGAGCTGGTCCCAGAGGAAGATATGCTTTGCTGCTTTGTATAGGTTGTCATGCTGGCCAGGCTATCAAGGTTATGACGATGCTGGTGACTTTTCTGACCCCTGGGGGAGTGTCTAGATAATAGAAGCAAATATTTTAAAAACATAATTATACCAGAGGATCAGAGAGGCAATACCTCCCCCAGATATTGTACCACCAGTGAGATAAAGCTGAGAAGTAGATCAAAGTTCAAATTCAAGATCACATTACGATCCCCAATATATGAGTTCCTATTCAAGTTTAATAATAACTACAAGTACAATAAGAATTGATACATTATAAGAGTTGATACATAATTATAGGATATTGAAGCATTATAAAGCTAAAACTGTCACCTGTAGACCCTCTCCTGTCTGACACGTTAAACATTTGATCTCATCAGTCACTTAACTAAACATGACCATGTGCTAAATATGGAACTGTGATTTCCAGAGCTTCGTTAACTCTTATCAAAATATGGAACTGTGATTTCCAGAGCTTCGTTAACTCTTATCAAAATGAAGGCCCTGCACTTAATTTTTCTAGCAATCTTTTATTATTTTTTTTTTTGATGTGAGGGATCTTATTCCAACCTTATACTGTAATGTTCATCTTTTTTGTTTAGTAGAAAAGACCTACACCATGCTGAACTACCTTTTGATGCTTCAGAACTCCTCTCACCTCTCTATCTTTTCCATCCAGGCAGACAACCAATCAGAATATTTAAAAAATGGGAACTGTCTTTAGTTGACAAGGTTTACTAAATATAACAAACAATACATTTTTAGCTTTTACGGGTCCAGAAGAGTTTTCAGTTTCTGCATTTTTATGGTCGTTTCTCTGGTGAACATGCACTGATTGACCCCAAACTCAAAGGTGAAAGGAGACTCCAAGTGTAACTCCTCTTGATAATATAAAAGCATAAGTCTCTGTAGTCTCTGAAAATCAGCACAAACAGTTTTTCACAGAAAAAATTAATGTTTATAAAATTTTGTCCCATTTGACCTTGAAATAGAGGTGAATAATCCACAGGCACATTTGAAATCTTCACATATGACTTGCGTTCGGACTTCTATTGTAACTTTCCCCATAATTCCTGTAGTTTGAGAGATATATAGCATTAAATGTCCAAAAATGTGACAAAGGCACATTGCGAGACACATCATACACAGGCAAATGGATTGAAAGAGCTGAAAATCTAGGGGGATCAAGTTGAGATTGTAACAAGGAGCCATTATTCCTTTTTGAATTCATATGCATACAGTTTTTCTTAGACCAAGCTTTAAAACAACACCCTACCTCTGTATACATAAAGAATACTGCAAAGCTCAGGAAAGATTAACAGCCTATTTTCCCAATGATGGACAGGTTTAAATACTTTGGTTAAAATTTGTGATTTTCCTAAATAATTTAAAACACCATGTCTGAAACCTTAAGTTTTAGTTCTGAAATACTATTAATGTTTATCAAAATGTACATTAACAATACAACCTATTAAGCATACTTGTAAGTAGGCAGCATAAATTCCTTTGCTTCATCTAGTTCTAGGTTCTTGTTCCTTGCTGGATGTACCAATACCACAAATAACACGAAAAATACCACTGTGATCACCAGTGGTGCCACCACCATCTTCAGCTTCTTCAACTCCACAGTCATATCACCTTGTCTAGTGCTGCCCTGGCCAATGACGCCACTCTCACCACCACTGTTTTTTTCCACAGAAGGGGAAGCTTCTCCCTCTGTTGTCTCAGCAGCTGACTACTGATAACAGTCTCAGTTATCTTAGTTTGAAAAGGCTGTAAACTGGAAGATTTTACTATTGTCAGTATAGCCTATCAGGCCTATCTAACTGGTCTAACTGCATATGCCAACATATAAAACCAGAAGTGAGGACTGCAGATCTCACATCAAAGCAACAACAAAGAGGTCAGATGTATACATCATTCCCCTTTCTTTGACTAAATAATCAGCACGAAGCACTCCTATTTTGCTTTTTACATTTACTTTAGTATTAATGTAAGCATAAAAAGACATGAATTGGAGTGGCAGCTGAGGGTGGACTCCTCTCACAACTGGCTGTGCTTGGTGTCAGTGCTGCTTCCAGCCACTGAGAAGTAGCAGGTCACATGTTGTGCTAACTGTCAGGCTGCATGTAGCCTCAGTAGACGTGTGTAATGCACTAGTTTGGATTGAGGTCATGAACTGACTGTTTATGTCAAAAACAGCTGCATCAGCTGTGGTGGTGCTGCTTCCCCCCATTCAATTCAATGCTTTCTCAGTGCTGGGCCACTACTTAACCGACTACCACTATTATTATACTAGCACTACATGAACAATACACTCTCATATACAAGAATAGGTGCAACTCATCTGTGAAAAAAGGAGTGTATGGCAGAGTTTTTTCAATGTTGACAAATATGGTAATGTACCTTGGATTTTGTACAGAAGTAATACATTAAAATAAGGGAAAAATCGTTTTAGTCGAAATTCATGAAATGGGAAGAGCTTAGAACTTCCAGTGGTTTGAATTTCATGCAATAGAAGTTGTCTCTTTGTCGCTAGGCTTTCTGTTACTTTTCCGGACGAATTTTGTGCTAGTTACTATATTGCATAAATGGTGAATGTTGGTTATTGTGAACCAAGAAAAAAAGGATTTTTACTCAAGCACTATATTTGGGCCCAATGTGCGAGATTATGATCAGTAAAGTGGCCCTGGTACCCTCTACCAGGGCTGCAGTTTTTATTATGTGGACATCTTCATTATAATGGTAATAATAATCGGATTGCACAAGTGCAGAGAAATTAATGTGGAGATCAGTCAGATTGTAGTTGATTTCTAGAAACGTAACATGGCCTTATAATTTTAGAATCATTAAAAAAATTTTGTATAGTATTAGTGGTTCTTTTACCATATAGAATTGATATAAAACATAGCCTGCTTCTCAGTTTGTTGCCAACACTCAATAAGAATGTTCAAATTTCAAGAATTTAAGATTAAAAAAATACAGTATCTATAAAATTCACAATTTTCCTCCATTGAAAAGATTGAGTTATTACTGTAAGCACATCCCTATTATGAACCCATTTATAGCCATCTACCTGAGCAACTGCTCATGCAGAAAAATTATTCTTCTCCCTCATGATTTCACTGAACCTTAGAATTTGAACTACATCAGACTTCTCTACCTGTGGACTTTGGACTTAGGTAACTGAAGGAGTTTACAACTGTTGTGACTGGAAACGAAAGCTGTAACTCCTTGGTTAACTTTTACCTAGGATACTGCACACTATCCAAACAAGTATTGGGGGGGGGGGCATGTGACCTGATGATTAAGTTCTAGAACAGTTCCTTATTTGTCCCAGAACTAACTGTTTGTCCCAGAGCTACGAAAGTTGATCCTTCTATAAGGACAGCCATAATTATGAAAAACCCCCAAAACTTGAGAGACTTGCAGGAGGCTGCCACTCTGGCAGACGCTGCCTCTGCATGCAGCCCAAGTCAGGAGCCAGCACCAACAGTGGCCCAGACTGAAGTTGTGAACATGGCCAGTGTCATGTCACAGTTTGCGGAAATGCACAAGGATATAATGAGCCAGTTGAGCCAGCTGGTCACTAAGTGTGCAAGTGTTCAAGCTGTAACAACCAATACTAATGATAGAAAAGTTTCTTTTCAGGCAAGGGAGGACAACCGTAGTCAATTTAGGCAAAGAAGTAGGGAAAGGAGCAGAGAGAGAGAAAGTGAGAAGCGCAAGTGCAATACGTGTGGTAAGTGGACGAGTCATTCTCCTTCTTCTTGTTTTGCAAAAGATAAAACTTGTTATAAATGCGGCCGCTTAGGTCACCTAGCAACTGTGTGCAGGACTATAAAACAATAGGGGTGCGAGCGCANTGGGGGGGGGGGGGCATGTGACCTGATGATTAAGTTCTAGAACAGTTCCTTATTTGTCCCAGAACTAACTGTTTGTCCCAGAGCTACGAAAGTTGGGTGCGGAGCTCTATTCCAGCACGACAATATGCGACCCCATGTTGCCCGTGTGTGCACCAACTTCCTGGAAGAGAAGGACGTCCATATCCTGCCTTGGCCAGCCATCAGTCCGGACTTAAATCCCATTGAAAATGTCTGGGATCTGCTCAGTTTGCATGTCCGCCGACGTGAACATCCTCCCGAAACTCAGCAGCAGCTGAGGGTGGCACTGGTGGAAGAATCGTCTACGTTTCCACAGGATTAACTCCGATCCATGAGGCGATGAATAACCGCTGTCCAGGATACCATCAGGGGTCACGTGAACTATTGACAGTAAGATGCAATTCCTGTCACTTTTGGTTTGGGGGGTGCTCTATTGTTTGGTTGTGTTATTGGACTCAAAAATGTGTAAATGCCAAAAAAAATTGGTCTGAGGATTAGAAATGGATGTAGGTTTCATATAAAACTGGCAAAATTTAATTCTTTATAAAGTCTACAGGTGGCAAGCTTCAAAAGTTTTTTTGTTTATTCCTTAAATCTACAACTGTTTCACACCCAAAGTCAGCAATAAGGTCCAAATGTCAACAAAGAAAAAATTATTTTTGGACTTCTTTGTATAGTGTTTATGTGATAACAAATTGAATTCTCAGATTCTCATTGTTTTGTAAACAAATTATTATCTATTAGTAAACTATTCTCTGCATTTTTAAATTATAAAGAATTTTAAAATGTTGCCAATTAGTGTTCATTATTTTGATTAATACATACATGGTTTGAAAAGTCTGTCTCAAGGACAAGTCATTTCTATTTGAAACAATGGCAGCCAGTAAATACGTTGCACTACATAGAGCTAACAATTAAAGAGTAATTTCATTAGTTTTGCGCCTATTTCCCGCTAGTTGGTACCAAATGTATCGATCACGTACATGTAGGCATCTTCTGGTATCTTAATGATCAAGAACATCTACAGGATTGCAGATTAAATAATATATAACCTTGAAAACAGAGGACCTTGTATCATTGCTTGTGGGCGCTGATATTTCTTTAATGCGTCTAACACCCCATTTCCATAGATTAGATCGATCTACTTTAGATCGACCTAACTCCCTGGGGGTTCACGCTAAATAGCTGTCAGCCGGGCGGACACGAAAGTTAATTACCCCGTTACAGCTTGTAGTAGGCGGGACAGACGTTTAAGTCGGATTATCTGAAAGTAATCCAGTGATACTCCCCGCGGGGATAGATAGATCTAAAATCTATGGGAATAGAGCCTAATAATCCAAAAACAAAATGACTGAAAAAGATGATGCCCAGCTGATTTCCGATTTAAGAACATAACCGGTGTTAAAATTTTTGTCAGTACATTATGCCACTGCTGCACTGGCTTAAAAGTAACATTGAGCACAGTTTGTAATGTGATTTCATGCATGTTTTCAACAGATTTCTGATACATAACTTTTGTGATTTTTTTTCAATTATTTTTGTATATAGTGACAGATACATACTTAGCTCATGATAATGGATAAAAAAAGTAGCAAGTAAGTTGAGGGAAATTGGGCAAAAACAACACACTTATGAGGCACACCTAAAATGTGACCTACTTTTTCTAAGAAATCAAGTAGCATTAAGGTCATTTTCCTGATAAATTAATGTGGTTTTACATGTTTATCTTCAAGGCACTTTTTCAAAGAATAAATAATATGTTTAATGAAAGATCAAGCGACAACAGGAAATATTTGAGAAAAAAGGCTCAGAGTCTATATGTCAAGGCACATTTTGGCAAAGGGTCATATCCTTAATTTTCTTCACTAAATCCTGAGGTGTTATTTTTTCCCTGTGAGCACTCGGAACTACTCGGATGTCTCCGCACTCGACAATGACCTCGGATGTGATACGGAGGCATCCATATTGATTGTTGATTGTTGGGAAGGAAGTACTTTCAACCTTTTACCATAGCCCGTCGGTAAAAAAGCCAAAGTATCATGTCCATAGTACAAATATTTTAATGTCTGTATCTGTTTATCCTTTAAATCAAAGTCAATCTAATTACATTGTTTGGCAAACTGTAAAGCATCATAAAAATCAGAGGTATTGACAGCCCTCTTTATGAGCGGAATAATCGATTGAGTGAGAAGGCATTTCCGGCAAACAAAATGCATGGATTTGGTGCATATTTCTCCGCCTATCACATCTGAGGTTAGTATGGAGCTTGCGGAATCGGCCTAGGATTGCCAATTGCCCTGTGAGGGGGCCAAGATATGAGCAAACCAATTTGAGTACTCTTGACTAGTGACACAAAGCCATCTGTATCACTCAGACTGATGAAGATGCCCAATGGCACAGCAAAATATTTCACAAGTGATGCAAGTTTTTTACTAAGGCCGCATTCACATCGAGAAGAGCCGAGGCTCAACAAAGCCAAGACCTAAATATGGTGGACGTACATGAAAGGAAAACCACCTAATATTTTAATAGTCTCTCCGCCTCTCACACACCTCCCCAAGCGTCGTCCTTGTGGGGGTACATTCATCAAATCTCGGCTCCATTCGCCAGGAAGCTACCTGAGAAAAATTAAGTGCGAATGCTCTTTGGTCAGCTGACATTATCTCTGTAGATAGCCGATTCATTGCTGGTCTACATGCCAATTCATTCCTTTTTCGTCTCTGTTTTGAAAGATAATAGAACAGAAGAGCTTTTTCCTTCGATCGCCTCCAGTCGCCATGCTTTCTTCACCTCGAGTTTAATTGATGAGCATGCGCACTTAATATTTCTCAGTTAGCTTCCAGGCGAATGGAGCCAAGATTTAAAGACTGTACCCCAGCAGGGACGATGCGTGGGGAGGCGTGTGAGAGGCAGAGAGACTATTAAAAGATTAGGCGATTTTCCTTTCATGTACGTCCGCCATATTTAGGTCTTGGCTCTTCTCGATGTGAATGCGGCCTAAGTTTGTGACAAAAGAGCTTTTGATCTCTGCTATCTACTAAACTGATGAAACTCTTAAAAAATATCACTGATTACAGGGAGGGAAATGGGCGGTCGCCAGTTGCCAAATGCAACCGCTTAAATGAATTGGCAAGTGCCAATCTCAGTAACTGGTCCAAACGCGCGACTGCTCTATAAGCAGCGGCAACATGAGAAGTATACGGGGTTTTTACTTGTCCTTAGATATTTTTCCTTTTTTTTTAAAAATCCGCTCCCAATTTTGTCTGCATTGAAGACTACGCGAGTTTCAGATGTGTTGACCTACTTTAATGATGCTTCCACGTCAGACGTTATTTGCATGCCACCTGACCTCTTGCATCAGACTGTCAATTTTGACCAATCAGATTTTACCACAGCATTCGCGCCGTATGAAGTAGCAGAGCCTCGAGGATTGAAAAGCTACGTACGCAACAAACCTTTTCGGTAAAAATACTAATTTACTTGAGTGCTGTTTTGTAGTTTTGAAGGGTAAATATAATTCTTTAAATGGTTTCTGGTCTTTTTGGATGTCAATAGCTTATAGTTACATTCAAGATTTTACAAGAAACGTTACTTTTCCTGTTGGGACCATTAGCATGCTGCCGAAATATTTTATTGGAAATTAAATCAAAACTACATTTAGTGTGTGAATTGAATTAGTTCAACTTATCTTACAGTTTTATAGCGATGTGGAGGTTTTTGCCTGGTGTTGCAAAGCCGCCAGAGCCTCTAAAAAGAAAAACACCGACAAATGACGAAAGCGAACAACCTAGCAATAAATGTAAAAAAAAAAAAGAGAGCGCGGGTACCTTCCTTTATAACAGCTACGGATTTTTGAGGAAAATAAAAAGGCGAGGATTTTTTGTTCCGTTTTATGGTTATATTTCAACTTTTGGGACTTTGAAGTCACTTCCTATTTTGTGTTAATACAATGGGTGTTAACCCATTGTTCTAATTCCAAACCTTGTTTGGGTAAACACAGTTTACCAGAGATTAATAACTCCTTTATATTTTTTAACCTAATAGTTAAAATACTTGATTCCTAATGTGGCGTCATTTCCTTAAACCATAAAAGGTGGGGAGAAAAAGCTGTTTAGTTTTTAAAATGTGAATAAATGTTGATGGGAGTTATTTGGTTGATTTCATTTCTTTTAAATAAGTTCAAAATAAAAACATGAAAATTAAACTTCATTTGCTTTATTTTATTGGCACATCTTAATAATAATTTAAAAAAAAAAAAAACGAAGTTGCACAGTATGTTTAAACCATCCACCCCTTTTCGATTCTGTCATAATTGGACCAGTGCCCCAAGGCCTGGGACCACTACCTCCAGAGTCAACTGGTCCAAGTGGACCAGTGCTGAAAAATTCCCATTTCCCTCCCTGACTGAAATCTCTTGAGGATTAGAAAATATAAGAACCATTTATTTTGCAGTGTGCATTTCAGGCTGGGAGAGAGGTCAAAGGTTAAATTTAGTGTCATGTTTAGAGTCCCAATGTATGGTTTATTATTAAAAGGTCAAATTTAAGGTTGACTCCTATCCTATCCTACTTTTAAAGTAACTATGGGTGTGTCTTTGCTAGTTTTGTGAATATTTTACAGTTGAATTTTTAAAACTTTGACCCTTGTGCATTGCAACACTGTACTATTGGAAATGATGCAACTCCTTATTAATTATGATACCATCCCTGGCGCATATGATCTGTTTCAGCCAAATTATGCCCTAGACATTAGTCTATACAAATCCTTTTTAAGTTCAGTATCATATTGAGATCATCAGACTGTTTGTGGCCCTCATGGACTCATTAAATTCTATCGAAAATCATGTATATATTCCAATGGACACTTTGGTTTTTCATTTTTCGCATGCAGGGATTCATTTAGTATATTGATTAGGAAATGTGAAGAAAATGCATGATGGAAATATAATTTTGCAATTTTGTCAAGGTGAAACTATATATTGCCTGGACTGATGTGCTGCACACTTTTTGTTTTGCCATGGTATTATATAACAGACATGCTGAAACTGTCGGACCGATCGGTCATGACTGGGAAAATTTGTCTGGACCGGTAGAAAATTGGACTTGGTCAGTTCAAAGGACCGACAAGAGTTTTAAGAACCCCAATTTTTAATTTACAGTCATCTTTCGACATACTTCACTAATAAAATTATATAAAACCCAAAGCATTTTTTCCCTTCCATTTCAAAACTGTCACATTCACAAAGTAAGCTACCTAATCGTACTGGTAGTCTCAAACGAATAGAGTGATTTTCGGTCCGACAAAAATTCATTCGGTCTGGCAAATTTTTCATTACTGCCGGTCCAAATGTCCGGCTATTCTGAAAAGTTTTCAGCATATCTGATATAATTATGTTTGCTAACATAAAAATGAAGTAAAACTTACTTGTCTATTGACCCAGACCGATGTGTTCTTGGCTATAAAGTAAAATAAAATATATGAGTAAACAGACTGAAAATAATAAATGAGGCACACACTGATTGTCTGATATAAATATCACACCATTCAGCAAAATTAAAAATATTACTGACATAAAGAGAGACTACAAGGAAACAAATTTACCAACCATACTGATATTTTTCAAACCAGTTAAAAGTTATGACAAATTCATTATCTGAAATTCTGGTATAAAATTTAAATGCCAGCAACAAGAGCAACCAGAAATGTTAATGTTGAAATAAAAAACAGTAAACAAGGCAGCAAAGCTGTAAAATATACAGACAAAAAGCAGAAAATAAAGATGCTAAAAAAAGGTCATTTGTCAATTTTGATGCAATAATAAATAATGCTTATAACAGCACAGTCAACGCCAAATTTTAATCACCTGGCAAAAGAGGTAACATGGACAATAAGAAATTAGCTTCAGGACCATGAGAGTTCAAATTCACATACTTAAAACCCAAATATGTGAACCAGGAAGCAAAATGATTCACAAAATAGGCTACTGTCGCTTCTGATGCAATAATACATTGTGCTTAACAGCAAAGTCAACATCAAATTTTAATAATGCACAACAGGCAATGCACATATAAGTAAAATATTTAACTAGCAATATGCTTCAGAGAGTTCAAGTTCACACTTTGAAAATGCCAGAATGAGAAAAATGAAAATTTCACAAAAAACTGCATAAATTCCAGAAAACATGATAATTCAATCAAGCTGGTTTTCCAATTTTAAGCTTCATTTCAATCCTAAGAATCATCAAGTTAAAAAATAATAAGTAACAGTTTCCTTTTCATAACGTTTGTGGTGGCAATGCACAAAGTAGTTTTTTTATCAATATTGATGCAATATTCCATAATGATTAATGGCATAATAACCACCAATTTTTCATTGTTTACAATACATAACTAAAATGAACATTTAGAAAATTTGATTACCATTTGGCATCAAGCCTGTAGGAGTTCTTAGTCCTACATTGAAAATGCCAATATGTAAAAAAATGAAGATTTTATAGAGAATTGTACTTCTTTAAGAAGAGAATGCAATCAGACTGGTTTTCCAACTGCACACCTATGAATCTTTCTGTAAGCTTAAGAACCACAAGTAACATGGATTTCAGTATGGTCATTATGACAGCAGTGCCCAAAATAGGGTTTTATTCAATTTTGATACAATATTACATAATTTTTAACACCATGGTGACCATCAATTTTTAATAAAAAAATAAAAGTATCATGGATATTCAGAAAATATGACACATGTAGGGTCAAAGTCACACCTTGAAAATGAGAAATACAAGAAAAATTAAATTATCAAAAAAAAAAAAAAAAAAAAAAAAAACTGTATAACTTCCACAAAAATTAACCTATCAGACTGGTTGTCCAACTGAAGCTTTATTTATTCCTTTGTTTCTTTTCTTTTGAAAAAATGCTCCTATCATGCTGATTTTCAAACTTAACTTGTTTTTTGTGAATATTCATCAGTTCTGTAAGTTTGAAGACAAAAGGTAAAACGTTTTTCCACTTTTTGTGTTATCACTGAAAGTGCACAGCGAGGCCACGACAGGTGCAGATGACGGGTTTATGTACAGACACATCTTCATCAAAACTAAAGCGATCAAGTTAATTTTCCAACTTAATCTGTATATTAGACCTATGAACCAGTCCTGCAAAATTTAAAGACAAAATATGATGAAAAAAAAAGGCCCATGTAAACCACTTCAGCTTAGAATGCCAGCAGAAAAATCCATTCAAACATCATTTTCCGGTAAAATTAAACAATGCCTTTTGGTAATTCTCTTAGTTATACTACTTGAAACTATATGCTGGCATTTGGTTGGTTTTTGTGACAAAAAAACTTTGTATGCATCTTTAAATAATTGAATAGACAGGCACCTGGCTTCACAAGGATATAAACCCCTCCAGTAAGAGAGGTGAACGGGTATGAATTGTTATCAGTAGTTTGAAAAGTCATCTTACAGGTAGATAATGGTAGCTCAGTTTGACAGCTTAATGAACTGGCTCTCACCTCCGGTGGCACGTATGTCGTCACCGGACCATGTGATCACGTAGCTCATTAACTTCCAGACCTAGCTAAAAGGGAGGTTTTTTGAAGCTCAAAATTTACCTCCTATTTGTATATTTTGATTAAGATATCATTAGTTGGGCATGTTTTCTAAAGAATAGTCTCTGTTAAGGCCATTCTGATGGTCTGACGATGAACCTTTAAAGTTGGTAATGTTGCCCTAGCATACCTTTACCTGAGTACTACGTGTGCGGCCCAAGGTGAAAGATAACGATCGGTACAGTTAGCTTAGAACGCAAAACAACATTGTTATTACCATTCATAAAAATAACAGATGAATCAATTTTTTAGAGCTGCACTGTTGCGCTATGGTTTCTTTCCTGGAGTACTCGCATAAAATAGCAATCAGTAGTTTTGCTGATGCACACAATACAGTTTTCCAATTATCGTGTTACCACTGAAAGGGCACAGTGATGACAACAGCAATGATGCCAACAAGAGATGCAGGTAATGGCTATATGTACAAACACGCTGTCTGTACATAAAAAACATTTCAAACTTCTTTTAGACAGACGAAACCTATAGCTGAGATGAAACTTTCTGACAATTTTTCAAGTAAAATTTTTTCTATAGTTCATCTTGTGTAGATGTTGTTGAATGTTACTTTAAATTCATTATTTTCAAAAATACATTTTTTTGTTGCTGTTAATATTCTTGAAATAATATTTTTTACTTGTTTAGCGTCTGCATATTTGCCAGCTTTGCTGTCTAGTTGATAAGTATGGTCAGGAAAAGAAAAACTAATGAATATTTATATATATGGTCAATTCAATTAAAATACGCCCAATCTGCTTTGATTAAGTGAAGATTAAGATTTTACATAAACAAAATATTATTAAAGATCCTTTACCTTCTTGAGATGCCCATGTACAGTAAAAGGCATTCCAGTGGGAGTACTAGTAGGAGAGGGAGAGGACAATGAGCCATCTACAACTAGTTGAGTGGGCACCTCCATGGTGATGTACTCCTCAGCCATGCTCATACACGCCTCCAGGGTTTTTATAAATATATCACAGGTGGCACTGAGGAGCGGTGTGGCCTCCTCTAGTTGCTGAAAAAAAAACACCATTTATATCAGTCTTTATTTTAAAAAATCCTGCAACTTGAGATGAATTCATTACTTGCTTTTTTGCAGCCAGTCTTAAAACTCACATTTTGGACACCACCTGCACGTTGGAAGAGAGGATAACAGAGGCTGACCAAATGTAACTTACTTTGGCACCATCTTGTTTGATAATGGTTTGTGTAATAATGAGAGAGAAACAACTCTGGTCTAAACATGTTGCTTCTGCTGCTCCCATCTGCCCATTGGCAAAGGAGAAATGATGATAATGATTATTACTATCTTAGAACATTATTTTGTTTGACTTAATATCAAATAAACATATACCTCGTTTATCAAAATATATCTACATGGATTCAAAAAAGGAATGTCATACCCATATTGTTTGCCATGTGGAAACAAGGCAGCAAAGCTGTCAAATGTACAGACAAAAAACAGAAAATAAAGATGCAAAATGAGTCATATTGTCAATTTTGACGCAATAATAAATAATGCTTATAATAGCACTGTCAGTCAACACTGAATTTTAATCATGCACAACAGGTAAAATGGTCAATAACATGAGCGGACCCAGATATTTTCTGACAGTATTCCAAAGTATCTATTTTGATCCATCCTCCATTTTGATGGTCTTCCAACAGAAGAAAAAATAGATACCAGGCAATATAAACTTAATAACCTGACTGTCTTCCGGAAGACCCAGAAGATGGTCTCGATCTACCCTTTCAATAAGATTACAGTTTCAGGACCATGAGTTTAAATTCACATGATGAAAGTCTCAATATTTGAAAAATGATGACAGTGCATAAAATAATATTACATAAGTAACATACTGTTTAAAGACATAAAAAACAATACAACTGCTTATGTGGAAATACAGAAATGTCAGAGCCTCAGGCGGATGAGAGTTAAAAGTCACAAATGCAAGTGTTTGAGAAAAAATTATAAAGGAAAACATAAC